AGGAATGCCACCTGAGTATTCGCCCAACAGAAAAGGAAGTTATGTTCCTACAGAAACCTGTACAGAGAAGTAGATAGTGGCTTTTATCTTTATTCATCAAAACAACCCAAATGTCCTTCAGCCGACGGTGGTACATTCGTCTAGTGGAATACTACTCATCGATAAAAAGAAACAAACTACTAATACACACAACAGTGTGGATGAATGTCAAATGCATTACTCTAGTAAAAGGAGCCAGGCTGAAAAGGCTCCGTACGGTGTGATTCCATTTACGTGACATTCTGGAAAAGGTTAGAATTATGGAGACAGAAAGCAGTGCTTGCCAAGGAATGAGGGTGTGGGCTGGGGGCTGGGGACTGGGGGCGATACAGAGAGACACGTTTAGGGTCTCTAAGAACTGTTCTCTATCTTGATTGTGTCGTGGTCGCACGACTATGTTAAGTTTGCAAAAATGCATAGAACTGTTCACTAAAAAGGGTAAAAGTGTTATTATGTGTAAATTATACCTCGACATACCTGACTTTAAAAAAAAAACCTAAACAAATAGATAAGCATATCCTTTTGTTTTCAAGTATTGTATGGTGATTTGTTTTGTCCAGAGGTTTGTGATTCATCTTATTAAAAATCAAAGAATATTACAGGTGAAAGGAGACTTAAGTCATCTCGTGTCAGTTCCTTCATTTTTCAGATAAGGAAAGTAACAGCCAGAGGAGGAAATGATGCATGAGAAGGAGCCATTAGCTTTCGCAATCTGATTATGTGAATTAGCTACTTGAGAGGCTAGAATTAGCATTAGTTTTTGTCGTCTTTTTTTTTTTTCCCCCGATGTAGCAAAATATAGCTCAGAGAACTCTCGGCATTTGTTCACTTGGACCCAAAAATTTAGCAGCAGATTTTCAGGTGAGCGTTTTTAATCTCGAAAGTTCACTTTGGTTACTTCTAGGATATAAAATTCCCGATGGAATTGCTTGCTAAAAATTAGCTTATTCCGTGTTCTACTGGTCTCAGCCTGTCCATAACCAATGTTGTGTCTGGAAAAGCCCTTGGGAGTTCTTATTACAATTGAAAGACGCCCTTCAGCAATAACCACTGAGAAACTTTGAAAAGCTACAAGTTTGTTATTTAACAAGACCTGGAAATTCCACAGCCCACCTGGGGCCACACAGCAAGGTCGCAGACAGAGAGTGCAAGGGCCTCGGGTTCTGCTTTTACTGGGGTGAAGGCTGGGAGCCCAGGGTTTCACTGAGGTCCACCCTTGATTAGTGATTTTAAAACCTAAGAGCAGAGAATTTAAAGTGCAGAGAGAGAAAACAAGTGACCCAAATGGTCAATTATTGAAATCAGCCCCATCTCCAAAACCAGAGCCTCAGTGGGGAAGGCAGCCTGGCTTTTGATCTAGTCAGTCTGAGAGCTGTCTCTGAGGTGGAAGGCTGTCAATCAAAGTCAGGCACATGCATTACGAAAAAGAAAGAAACAACGACAGGTGTCAGGGCTTACACTACCTACCCACACGTGATGAATTGAATAATTTTTCTGAGGTTTACTTATTTTCATAAACTATACTTTACAAATGCATGGTTGGATCCTGTGAGAAACTAAAACGGTCGTTATCAGCTTTTTAGACTTTGAGCCCCTTCTTCAAACCAAACCACACACTGACTCACACATGTAAGAGAGACTCCGGGAGGCCCCTCTGCCCACGGTGAGGGTCAGCCCAAGCCCAGCAGCATGAGGGAGGGGCTTCCACCAACCACAGGGCCAAAACCACAGCGCCCAAACCCACGGGGAGAGACCCAGAGTGCTGGTTCACAGATGGGGAGCTGGGCGGAGTATGTCATCACACACTGAATTTGGTTCTTGTTAGTGCGACTTGTCAACTCAGAGAAGTCTATGGCATCGGTTCTGAGTAACACGTCTTTGTCCTGTCCTTGTATAAAAAAATGTCTTTGTTTCATTCTCTCCACCATTCTGCTCTCCGTCCTTTTTATCTGCCTCTATCCTAGGGGGAGAGAAGGAAGATCAAGATTCAAGATATTCAAAAGGGATGGACAGATAGTCACACACGCACGCACACACACACACACACACACACACACACACACACACACAGCACATGTGAGAGCTCAAAAGACAGAATCTAAGCTGCAAATACAAATGGGTGTGTCTTCCACACTGAGATGGTCATGGAAGCCAAGGGTGTGCTCTGCGGGAATGCCTGGAAAGGCCTAGGACAGCAGAGGGAGCCAGCAGTCAGGGGCCGGGTGGAGGAGGATGGACGTGCAACAAGGCCAAGAGAGTGTTTTCTGCAGTCAGAGCAAAGCTAGACTAGCACAGTTCATGAGAACCAAACGAGAGTGGTGTTTCAAGGAGAGAGAGGTCCAGTGTTGAGAAGTTTTGAACTGCCCACGAGATCGAATAGCATGATAGCGGTTGGTGATTTTCAGAATTAAGTCTTCTACCCTTTCTGGCAACTATTCACGACTGGAAGCTCGTTGAGAGCAGGCAGCTTGACTAGAGCTCCACACTGCTTTTCACGTAAGAAAAGCCCAATAGATATTTGCTATTTCATGAACTCGCCTGATATACATCTGAAGCCTTAAAAAGGTAGTTAGGGCATTTTGAGGGGCGGTAGTGATGAAACGGTTCTGTCTCCTGATTGTGTTGGTGGTCGCGTGTGTTAAAACTCATAGAACTGTACACCTCAAAAGGGTCCATTCTATTGCATCTTAATTTTAAAAATTTTGAAATAATAACGGTAAGATTCTTTTTCTTACATGGCGATGGGCTCTTGGGTGTTTCTGGTAAAAAGATTCTTTAAATCTTATATGTATTTTCTAAACAGGCCTTTGTATTTACGTAAGACTTAATAAAATATTATATATTGAATAAAAACAACTAAAGTTTTAAATAACGCATTTGAGAGAAATACAGAAAAGTGCTGATAGGAAGTCAATGAAAATGCATATGTAATTTAAGCTGATTCTAAAAGAAATGGAATAACAAAAGAAAGCAATAACAAAATCTCTATTGTCTTGTCTTTTTAACAGACAGGAATGGGTCACTTGCGTGTTACAAATGATGGGCTTCGCCTGGAAGGGGAATCTGAGTTTTTATTCCCATTGTATGCCAAAGAAGTACACTCCAGAGTGGTAAGAAAACGATTTGATGAAACATTTAAATCATTTGTACTTTATGAAAAAGAAATAATGGTTAAGTGCAGAAATTAGGCATATTTCAAAGGAGAGTTCTTAGAAAGTAGACACGTACACACATTCATGACATACTCATTATAAAAAGCTTGGCTCCAAGGTTGTGGAACTCATTTCTGATATTATGTTCTAAAAAGACTCTGTTTTCATGTGCTTCAGATCTGAATTTGGTGACCTCAGTAATTTAGACCTTAATAAAGGCTTGGTAATTAAAACCTTTATCAAAAACAATCTAAAATTCTTCCCATTTATGCTTGTAATTTAAATACACTTCTTTCAAGGCATTTAAAATTATCTGCAAAGCTTAGGAAAAAATTAGTGTCATAGTAGTATGTTCTGTAGTAATTATACTAATTACAGATTATGGTTCTATAGGATTCTCCATAAATAGATTAATCAACACCATTAAACAATTGTGTGACTTCAAAAGTAAATCTGCCTCAGTATTATCTTCATTTACCTCCATGAAATTTATAACGAGTAGAGCCAAATACAAAATATAGTCAAACAATTTTTGTAATATGTTCTGTTTTTCCTTATATGATGCTATGGACTTTGTAGTAGAGATATTTTGCTAGTTACTGATTAGGTGGTATTATCTAAATAAAGTGTTACAACTTCATCCAGCTGTAACTCATCAATTGTCGGAAGAGTACACTCTTCATTTTCCTCCCTTTTCTAGGTACAAAAGGATCTATCAGTATCTCCTACATACAGAGGCTATGCTAGCTAATCTAGGGCAATTACAAAAGAAACAAAAGGCCAACCACTGTAAGAGAGATAAAGTACACTCCTAAACTAAACATCAGAACAATCACCAACCTCTACTACCAACTACAAAATGATATGGTATAAAACTTATGAGTACTGATTGCAATAGAGAGGTCTTAGAGAGTACAGAGCTCGCAGTAGTTATCAGGCACTACGGTGTCAGCAGTAGGAACAGGCAAATGACCTGGAATATCACAGGCTGTTGTCCATATCAGCCTGATTCTATGAGCTTATTCAGATAATACACTTACATCAGTCATGATGGCACTTCCCCCTATTAACCAGCCCTGTTGTATGGAAACATGGGAAATAATGCAAGCTTTTGTAAAAAGGGAAGTCAGATGCGAAGAAAGAATTCAAATATTAGAGCTTAGCCTTTTTTGCCCCAGAGTTCTATTGGCTAATCTCCTACCATATTTTTTTAAGAGATAAGACTGAGAGAATAGCCTGGTGACTGAAATCAGGTGATTAAATCATAGCAAATATAATATTCTGGAATTAATAATACTTTTAGTTATATCCTATCAGACTTTTTCATCTACAGTATCCTTTTTTGAAAAGGGAGCAAAATTATTTAAATTATTTTAGATAATTACATATTAAAGTCTCACAATGATACATTAATGTGAAATGTCAATCAGTACATAAAATTACACAAACATTTGGAATAATATTATGTGATAACAGAGCTGTGAAGTATTTTGTAACTAGTATGGCTTTCCAATAATAGGATTAACTGAACAAAATTATGCCTTGTAATTTTTGTGTGCACTGATGTATTAGTTATGTTTTCTTTTCAAAGATGCGTCTAGGAAGTAATTTTCCATAAAATTACAGAAATTATCTTATGAATTTGCAAAATGTGACACATATTTTATTTATCCATATTGCTGGGCTGGGAGAATTTTTTCATTTTAAGTGTAATTCAGCATGGTGTTCTGGCTGCTAGCATATGATGACTTGGTAACCCTTCAGAATTAATACATGAGGCTCTGTCGGGGCTGTGCTTGGAGTTCATGACTTAAACCCATCCACCCTGCCCATTAACATAAACGCAGAGCAGTTATATCTGATAGAGCAAAAAGACTACATAGTAAAACACAGAGACACAATGGAACATGAAATAGAACAGAAACACAATTTTAAACCTTTACTTGAAATGATTTTCTTTGAGGTTCACAAACCTGAAAAGAGACAGGAACAGCTTATGATCAGAGCCCACAGAGCAACAGACACCAAATTGATGTCAACATGATTGGGACCCCAGCAGACCTATTGCTTGAGACAGCAATGAAAGGCAGAAATTGCTGGCAACCCCTGCCCAAGCTTGAATAAAGCTGTATATCTGTGGGGAGGAACCCACAAAGATGCCAGACCAGGACACTAATATCACTGAGGACAGAGGCCCTGAGCCATCCTTGTAAGACTGAGAGACCGTGGGGTATGAATGGAAGCAATGGTAAAAAGCTTTTAGACAGGCTGGATAAGTGCAGAAATTAAAATACACAGGAGCTTAAGACTGAGACTTCAAACCATGTAAGGAAAACTTCATCTAAAACAAGGTTACAAAATAAACTCTACGAGAAAGGAAACTAACTTCCAAGTAAAAATAGTCAATCTGAAAATGACTGGAAAAGCACACTTGAGAATCTCAAGGACATAGAGCTATTTTGAGCAACTTTAATGACAAGAAGAAGAAATTATAAAAATCAAAATAGGTAATAGAGGAAAGACATTAACACTCTCTCATTAAACAACTAAAAACTTGAAAACATATGGTTCTTGCTATGGTCTGAATGTTCACATGTTGAAATCGTAATCCGTCAAGGTGATAGTATTAGGAGGTGGGGCTTTGGGGAGGTATTTAGGTCATGAGGGTGAAGCCCCTATGAATGGGATTAGTGCCCTTGTAAAAGAGGCCCGAGAGAGCTCCTTTGCCCCTTCCATCATATGAGATTACAGCTGAAAGGCACACTCTATGAACTAGAAAGTAAGTCTCACTAGACATTGAATTGGCCAGCACCATAATCTTGGACTTCTCATCCTCTAAAACTGTGATAAATAAATGTTTGTTGTTTATAAGCCATCCGGTCTCTGGCATTTGGTATAGTAGCCCAAATGGACTAGAACAATTTTCAGATGTCAGACAATGGCAGTCAGGATAGTTATCTCTGAAAAAATGAAACAAAAGAGGTGAGTCCTAGAATTACCCCAGTTTACTGTCTGAACAGAATTTCGTAAGTCATGGGCATCAGGTAGAATGTTAAGAAAGGTATTGGCTCAGGAGTGACACAAGATCAGCACTAGTATCATTGCTGGTCTGGTCCCATATAACAAAGCTTAATAAGAATCCTTGAAGGTATCATAATTTTTCCAACTGACTTGGTATGTCCCAGTACGAAGTTCAAAAAAACTGTTCTATCTGGCACAAAGGTCAAGGAAAGCATGAACATGTCAAGGAGAGACATGAAAGATGGAAAGACAGAAAAAACTCACATTAACCTAGAGTTGAAGGATATAACACCTGGAATTCTTTTTTTAAAAGTCAATTGGTGGGATTAACAGATTAACAACAGACTAGACACTATAGAAGAAAAGATTAGTGAACTTTAAGGTGTAGCAATAGATACTAATCAAAATGAAACACAGAGGAAAAAGACTGGAAAAAATTGACAGAGAGAGATGAGAAGACAATATTTGAAAAAAATAATGCGAGATATTTTTCCAAGTTTGATGGAACTTTAAATCCACATATCAAACATGCTTAATGAACCTAAAACAAAAGAAACAAGAAGAAAACTACATCAAAGCATATCAATGAAAGTGCTTAAAACTGGAGATAAAGAGAAAATCTTAAAAGCAGCCAGAGGAATAGGACATCTTATATACAAAAAAAACCCCGAAAAACATAAGAATGGATGGCAGCAGACTTCTAGTCAGGAACAACGCAAACAGTAGAGCACTAATTTTAAAGTAATGAAACAAAACCCAGCCAACCTAGAATTCTGTCCCTAGCAAAAATATTTTTCAAAAACAAGGGCAAATAGTCTCTTTTTTCACACTTACTAAAGCTGAAAAAATTACTTTAGCAGACTGGCACTACAAGAATATTAAAGGAAATGATTCTAGAAGATCTTGACTATTAAAGGAGAAATAATAACAATGTACTTTGGAGTTTACAGCAAGGATGGAAGTAAAATATATAACAACAATAAAATAAAGACCATGAGAGAAAAAAATGGAAGTACTGTTATAATGTTCTTATGTTATATATGAATTGGCTTTTACATGAATTACTTGAAGACAGACCATGATAAGTTAAAGATTTATAAATCCTAACATAAACACACATACAAAGTGTAGCTAATATGTCAACGATGGAGATAAAATGAAACCATAAATTATACTCAGTCCGAAAGGAACCCGACAAAGGACACAAAGAGCAGATAGAATAAATAGAAAACAAATAACAAGTTGGTAGATTTGAACCAAGCCATATCAATAAGCACATCAAATATAAATGGTCTAAACACTCCAATTGAAAACCAGGGATTGTCATATTGAATGAAAAAGGAAGAATGACTATATGCCACTTAAAAAAAACCCACTTTAACTATAGAGACACAAATAGATTAAAAATAAAAGGCTAAAAAAAAGAAAAAATATATACCATATTAACACTAATGAAAAGAAAGCTGTAGTGGCTATACAGTTGATCCTTGAACAACATAGGGTAAGGGATGCCGACACCCCTCCCCACCATGGTCGAAAATCCACGTGTAAATTTTAATTCCCCCAGAACTCAACTACTAATCGCCAGCTGTTGGCCAGAAACCTTACTGATAACATAAATGGTTGATTAACACATATTGTGTATGTTATATGTATTATAAGCTATATTCTTACACTAAAGTGAGTTAAAGAAAAGAAAATATTATTAAGAAAACCATAAGGAAAAGAAAATACATTTATAGCACTTATTGGAAAAAATCCACATGTAAGTGGACTCATGCAGTTCAAACCCATTTTATTAATAACAGTAGATTTCAGAGCAAAGAGATAAAGATCTCAGAGATACAGAGGGCTGTTTCAAAAGACGCAGGAGTAAATTCATCATTTATATCACTAAACATTTATATACCTAATATTAGAACTTCCAGATACATGAAGCAAAAACTGATACAACTGCAAAAAAAAAAAAAAAAGAATTATCCACAGTTATAGTCAGAGATTTCAACATTTTTCTCTCAATAACTGAAAGAACAAAGAGATTTCAACATCTTTCTCTCAATAACAGAAAATCAATGAGGATATAGGTAGGAGACTTGAAGAACACTATCAACCTACTTGATATAATTAACATTTATATAGCACACTTCCTGCCAACAGCAGAATACCGGTTATTTTTCAATGCACAGGGAATATTTATCAAGATTATATTTTGGACTATAAAACAAACCTCGATAAGCTTAAAAGTATTCAAATCATACAACATATGTTATTTGACTACAAAATATTTAATCAGACAATAGTAACAAAAATATCTGAAAATATTTCAAATATTTGGAAATTAAATAAAATATTGATACATAATCCATGGGTCAGAGAAGAAATCAAAAGAGAAATTAGAGAGTGTTTGTTTTAAACTGATGAAAAAGAGAGAAACAGTATATCAAATTTGGGGAGATATAGTTAAAACTGTGCTTAGAGGAAAACTTATAGCACTAAATGCCTATATTAGAAAAAAAGAAAATCAATGACTTCTGCATACTCATAGAGGAACTAGAAAAAGTACAAACTAAGCCAAAGGTAAGAGAAGAAATGAAAGAATTAAAAGCAGGAATCAAAAAAAAATAGAAAACATAAAAACAATAGAGAAAATCAATGAAACCAAAAGCTGGTTCTTTTTGAAGATCAATAAAAATCGATCAACTTCTAACTAGACTAACCATTAAAAAGAGAGGACACGAAGGACCAATGTCAGAAATGGTAGAGGGGAGACCCCTGAGGATCCTACAGACATTCAAAGAATGATAAGAGAATATTATGAATAACTTTATGCCATAAATATAATTTTTCCACAGATGATTTGGCAGACTTCTTGACAAACACATGTTGCTTCAGTGACTGACTAAGCTTCTGCCATTCCCATATTAGGTTCACATTTGAAATAATTAATCATGTCCACATACAAAGTGGCCAAAGGAGACTATTGAGAACTCTTAAGGCAGTTGTGATCTATATTTGAGCTCTACCAACACATCCTTACATTGTTAATGGTCTTTTTTTTATTATTATTATTAGTTTCAAGTATACAGTACGTTGGTTAGACATTTGTATAGTTTATAAAACGATCCCCCTAATTGTTCTTTCTCTCATGACTCTCCATCTAGCCATTATATGAAAGCTAACTGCATTTCCTCTGTGGTGCTCCCCATCCCAGTGACCATCCGTCAGCTACTAATTTGTACTTCTTTAACCTTTCACCCCATTCTCCCAGCCCCCACCTCCCTCCCCTCTGGCCGTCTTTTTATGCATCTCCCTCATTGCTCCTTATCTAGGTCACACACTCTGGAGAAAAGAGATCATGTCCTGTGCCTCTTTTATCTACATCCTAAGACTAAATATAGTGTTGCATGATACATTGTTTTTATCCAAAAAATACAGTCAGAATTCAGTTCAGATTAATGGACAAATTATTAAATGTGTCTTTCCACCTGGCTGTCATTTACAAATGGCTTCAAATTTGTCTAAAGGATATCACTAGCTAATTTTGAAAAATGAGAAACTCATTCACAAGCTTTAGCTCTCAGCTTTCCTCACATAGAAAATGGAAATGCCCTCTACTTTACAATAAACATTACAGTTTTTTAAAAATGTACCTGTTGATTATTTCAAAGAGCAAGTACAATTAATATAAGAGCTTTCATTAAGTGATAGAGAGAATATTTGTATCATTTTGTTAATATTGCTACAGAGCCATTTCTGCCTTATACTATGAGTAACAGAAAATCTAGCCAGGAGTGGCATAAACTCATCAGAACTTTTATTCTCATATAACTAGAAGCTAGAAGGGGGCGGTTACAGCATCAGTTCAACTCTCACCAACGTTGGGGCCGGCAGCTTTGCCGTCTTTCTGCCTTCCCCACGGTTGCTAGGGGTCTGCTAGGCAACGTCATCCAAGGCATGTGGCCGGCGAAGCCTGCACTGCCAATACGTCTCCTTTTCATCAGGAAAGCAAAAGCCTGCCTGGAAACCCTCTTCCCGCCCCCAGCAGATTTCGGCTTCCATCTCATTGACCAGAATTGTATCACTTGGGTCCCCTTAGCTGCAAGACAGGCTGAGAAAACAGTTAGCCTTTCCAGCCCCGACAGTGGAAGGCAGAAAAAGAAAAGGGTTTGAGAGTCCTCATTGGATCAGACACCTAGAGTGGTTCCCTGAGTAGCTTATTTCGTCTAGGCATGGGAGTAGATCTCACAGCTCCAACCTGGGCCCTGTCTGCCCATTCCGGGGGAATGGAAGAAAAGAGCATGGAAGTTGGCATCTAAAGACTAGGTTTTATCTTGACACTGTCACTTGATAGTTGTGACTTTGGGTAAGCTGTAATTTAATCTCTTTGAACTCAGTTTTCTCATCTACCATGGTACCTACTTCAAAATGTGGGGGATGAAATGAGAGGATGGATGCTAAAATTGTGGGTAAATTGTTAGCTTTATTATCATGCTAGTTATTTTATAACAATGCAAAAACAAGTATTAAGGTCGCATCATTGGATAAAACGTGAGGGGCTGATAAATCCATCTGTTTCCACAAGCTTCCATCTGCTTCCATCTGCCAGCTGGACAAATTATCTGACCTGTGAGAGTTCCAAAGTACTCCTGAAACTTCTTTCCTTCTGAAAAATTACATTATTTCCCACAACTCTGGAAGGTATTTTGTTCCCTCTGAGTGAACCGTAAACCCACTTGAACCCAACAGCCAAATTACTGCATTCCTTTTGAAGAAAACTATTTATATAAAAGCAAGCAATGTTCTGTAAAATGAAACCACCCACTTAGAACTGATACTGAAGAAAACACTAACGTGCTCATAAAGCCACTTTCTCTTCCAACAAAAGCTCAAAAACTAGGCATTCAACAAATTTGAAAAGCTCTTTTGAAATTGTGAAAAATCTTTGCATTTTAACAATAAGTAACATGGTATTTATATAGAAGAACTAACCATTCTATGATTTATTTTCCTAAAATATATCATGTCCAGAACATAAATAATGAAAATGAAATTTTGATTCTTTGGAAAAGAAAAAAGAATATTAAAAGTGATTGTTTTAGATCTTCACTGTGAAAACTGATCGGGCACATTGTAACCAGTGCACGCAGCACTACAAACCCATAAGATTATTATATTTTATGAATAATGCAATTCAAGCTTTAAAATAATTTTATGAAAACAAATGTATACTATCACAGAATCTGTGACTATGGAGATTTTATACAAATCTTAAATTTATATACAAATATAAAGATATCTTTGGCTAACTTTGTAAATCCCTTCCTAGGACTCGTCTCTACTTCTACAGTCTACTCAGAATGTGACTGTAAACGCACGAAACTCTGAAGGAGAGGTCACAGGCAGATTAAAAGTGGGTGAGTCCAGCTGCGTCACAGCGCTTTGCATGTGTGTGGTCCATGAATAGTGTGCCAAATGGATAAGTTTGTTTTTTCTTCTAAAGAATTCAAAATCATTTATGAACTATCAAAGTCTGAATTTTCTAAATATCTTGCTGTGTCTACTACAGAGAATAGTTAGCATGACTTTGAGGAGAGGGTAGAGGACTGTCTAAAGTATTTTAATTAAAGTTATTTTGAATCCAAGAAATAGAGGACCATCCAAGGTAGTACAAGAAACACAATGACTACTGTAGGATACAAAAGAGTCTATCAAAGACCAAAGGAAATGAACGGAAGTAGTTGCTTTCAAAAAAACAGCGATCAGGGCTAAGAGCCAAAGTTCTCTCTCTCCCTCCCCTTCCTATAAACCTTCTGGTCATGTACCCCTCCCTTCTGGTGAATATTTGCCCATCCTTCTCCCTTGGGTATTGTGGCTGCATCGGTTCTAACTCTGCAGGGCCTCCAGGACCTCTCTGGTTCTTCATATGATGAGCTGTAGTTCTCGGCACCAACAACTTTGTCCTCAATTTCATGAATTCTCAATTCATAACAAAGTATTTTAATTGGTCCCACTAATCCGTTTGGCCAGCTACCCTTGGGTCGGCTGTGTACATCTACCCAGTCAGCTAAGATCAGAGAATAAGGTCACGTGGAAATGAGGTCATATGGAATTTTGTACCTTGGGAAAAAGGATTAGAGAGGAGGAATATAGATGAAAGAAATAACAAAAGAGTAAACCAGCTGGTAAAAGGAATGTGAATACATTCTGTATACTATCAATATTTCACAGATTTGCAAAACCTAAGAAATTAGATGGCCCTTTTGATTATGCGGAAGTAGATGAGAAGTATACTGTCAACACAAGCTGGTAACTTTCTGTGTCTTTTTTTTTTTTTTAATGGCTGTTTTTATAAAACAGAATAATGTTACATGTGAAACTATAGCCACATAGGAACCTGATGATTCCTTTTTATGATACAGTTAGGGATAATATAAATCCGTCCTCAGTTTCATGTATAGAAAAAACTGAAGCTAATTTGCTCAAGAACGCACAGCTAGTTCCTAGGAAAGCCTGACCAGGAATGACCCCAGGACTTATTTCTCTGAGTGTTTCCACTAGCCCTCCCTCTCCCTAATCAGATTTATTACACTAGCATGCCAGCAGCTGTTTAAGTTGTAGATACAGTTCTCATTTTTGACAACAAGGAATTTACTTAAAAAAAAAAACAAAAAAAACCCGTTAGAATTACTTCGGTTTAAACCGTTAGCCTCAAATCTTGAGTTTTAACCTTAGTGTTTCATGCCTAATAGAGTATTAAATTAGTGATTTCTATTAAACCTTTGTCTGGAAAGCCTCTGTTATATTGAGAACCCTGAACTAGGGAATATAACTCACCAAATTCAAGATTACTTTCAGTAAATGATTACCCACAATCACAGTCATTCCAGCCTCACATTTCTTGAAAGGAGATAAATTTAGCCAATCTGGGCATTAAAATGTAATTTATGTGAACTCACCAAATTAATCTCATTTCAATGAATAATTGCTTATTACTAAACCACTGAAAAAAGTTGGCAACCAATGCAATCAAAACCAAAAGTCTTAAATTCCAAAAGAAGTCAAACATTGAAAAGCAAATGCTAATAGTTAGCATTTCAAATCTTTGCACGAAAAGATCTCGAACCATAAGCAACAACAATGGAATCTTACCAGTTATAAATGCAGCTCTGATTACTACCGTTAATTTAATTTTATTTTCAAATAACGATTCTGGCTAGTTTAAAAATAAGACACACCCAGAAGTATTCAAGCTGTGCTCAGATGGGTTGGCCAAGTTTGATACTTACTTTTACATGATGGTATCTTAAATTCAAGCTGTCATGGCGATGTGGGGTGAGGGGATGGAGGAAGCTGTTAAGGCGGCATACTGTATGTCAGGAAGCATTTGGTTGTATTTTTCACTAGAAAAACCCTTAAGCCAATTTCACAAACTTAATTCATCAGATTATAAAACCTTCTTATGTTTACTTCCTTTATTTTGTTTCTTTCTTTGCACCAAGACCTTCCATTAAAAATGTTATTTTACCAGTCAGCTCTTTTTTTTTCTTTTTATCACCAAGATAGAATTTAAATTCTATTTCTTAAGGAACTCTGCTGCAAGAGAGGATTACTCACTCAATTTTAATTCATGTCCAGCTAGGTTATAAAAGCTAGTAGAATACTAGTAAAAGTTAACAAGGTAATTCCAAACTCAATGATTTTAAGAGATGATTATCCCTGTGATTATGAGCTTCTTATCATTGGACAACAGTTTATTCTGGAGCGGAAAACATCTTTAAATTTAGCTTCTCTCTCTCTCTCTCTCTCTCTCTCTCTCTCTCTCTTGACTTTTTGGGCCTCTGGATTCTGTTGGCTGGGAATAATAATCAAGTCATGTTCTTAAAGACAGAGATTACCTTGCTGAAATGAATCTGTCATCTTTTAGTTTAATCACAACCATAAACTACCAAAAAAATTAAGGTAGTCTTCCTTAAGAGAAAGAAGATAAAACATAGAGGAAAAAATGAGTTCCATTTTATAAATATCTCTCTCTCTCACACACACACACACACACACACACACACACACACACACGTACAGACACAGTTAAGTGAAAGGTTCTGAGGTACAAATTAATGAAATAGCATAAGGATACGTTGGTGACCATGTTCAAAATGGATTAATGTATTCATCGAAAGCTTCAATGTCATTTCTAGCAGGTGTCCATCAACTTTAATGAGTACTGTTGGGGACAGAGGGACACATACACTATACAAAAACTGTAATCTATTCATTTTCTCAATAAACTTACTTTTCTACGTAAGAATATAAAACTAACATGCAGAAGAACTAGGGAACACTTGTAGTTTCTTAAGCAAATACTGATAGCTGTGTTCTAGAGAGATTAATCTCTTATGCTCCGGGGTTTGAAAAAAATGGAAACACACAGAGAAATTACAAAACATAAAATGATGAGGACCCAAGTGTATGGATGAGAGAAATTGAACAAGAGCTTATACGTTCCATGAGGATACAGTGTCCCCAGTGCCTGGCCCATAGTGGCACCCATTAAACATTGGCCGAATACAGTTATGATTTGAGAAGCAACGGGTCTGAAGCTCACATGAAGGAATTAAGCGTGTGGAGAAGGTGACACCTCTGTCACTGAAATTAAAAAAAAAAAGTGAAGAAGACAAAAATGAGGGGAAGGGCAGGAAATTGGGGGTGTTCTTCCATGGTGACATCTATTTTTCTCCATGGAGTAAGAACTGAGGACCTTTCTGAGGACAAGGGCAGAAGAGAGCATCTGAGTATAATTCATTTTCTGAGTTAACCTTGGCCGTGAAAGTGACCCATTTGTAAAAGGTTCTTTCGTAAATATCACATTTCAGAATACAAAATCTTTAGCTGGTTTATACTCGAAAGAATGCAGATTTAAATAATACGAGTGGGAGAATTATCTTATTTTGGGCAAGTTTTAAAAACCTGAAAAAATTTAACTTTTAAATAATTTATTTGTACATATATTTGATATATATTAGCACGGGTTTGACAAATTAATTTTAATAATAGAATAGATTTAGGCTTAGAACTTACAAAACTTAATCATGGAATCAAAAACCTGTTAGTGAAAAATCCTACATGTTTAGTAATTTAGCATGTGTAAAAGTAGAGATTATAACACTGCATATGGTAAACACTTTATAATAAACTGTTTGAATTAACCTTTCAGGTCCCCAGATGGTAGAAGTCCAGAGTCAACAGTTTCAGATCAATTCCAAGGAAGGCAAATCACTTTTCACTGTAGATGAGAAGGAAGTTGTGGTTGGTACAGACAGACTTCGAGTAACTGGTAGGTCAGAGCTCTTTTTCTTTCATTTGAGAGATAATTGATATACCACGTAATATTAGTTTCGGGTGTACAACAAAATGTTTCGCTGTTTGTATATTTGTGAAATGATCACCACAATAAGTGTAGTTAACATCCATCACTATACATACTTACAATTTTTTATTTTCTTGCAATGAGAACTTTTAAGATTTACTCTCTTGGCAACTTTTACAGATACGGTATGGTATTATGAACTATAGAACTATGCTATACATTACATCTCATGACTTATTTCATTTATAACTGGAAATTTGTATCTTTCGATCCCCTGCACCCATTTTGCCCATCCCCCGCCCCCCACCGCTTCTTGCAACCACCAATCTATTCTGTCTATCTGGGAATTTGGGTGTTTTTGTTTTTGTTTTTTGTTTTGTTCTTTAGATTCTACATATAAGTGAGATCATACTGTATCTGTCTTTCTCTGCCTGACTTATTTCACTTAGCATAATGCCCTCAAGGTCCATCCATGGCAAGATTTTCTTTCTTTTGTTTTGTTTTGTTTTGTTTTTGAAGCTGAATAATATTCCACTGTACACATGTACCACATCTTCTTTATCCGTTCATCTCGCGTAACTCTTGAGAAAAACAATATCCCATGGACCGCACTTCTGCAAAAGCAGATGGTACTTTTGGCGAGTTTGCTCTGATATCTTTCAGATTAGAAGAGACAAAGTAGTTTGAATTTGTTGACTTTTCTTCGTGGTATTTCTTTTGAAATTCTTGAGAGTTTCCTAGGAGAGTGAAGCTCTCCTCACAAATCTTTGCTCACACTTCTTGCACCATATTGTTATCCTTTATTGCTTTCCAATCATTTTAACTCAAAAGCTTATCATAAATTTCTCTGTCATGTGCGTGATATTCGAGTATCTGTTTTCCATATGACTTTTGCAAAAGAACCTTCTTCTAAGTCTCTGTTATTCCCATTCCATCAGCTACTTGGATTCCCTATATTTTTACAAAAAAAAAAAAAGAGTTCCTCTCTTAGGAAGAAAGATAAGATGAGGTTTTGATAGGAATCATTTTTAGGGCTGGAAAGAAGAAATTTTATTTTTAAAATGTTCAGAACATGTTCTAAATTTACTTGCCAAGCTTCTATAAAAACTAGAAGACATAACCAGGCATACACTAATTAAATTCATCTCTATTCTTTTATGTACTATTCTGAAACCAATAGCAACTATATTTTGTCACACACAATTACCAATATTCATAAATGAAATAGAAATAATGTTCCCTGACCTAAGAAGTAGACTCAGCCCTAACACAATGTTTTATGTAATATGTAATTCCTAACAAAACAAACTATAAAATCATAACCTATGTTGCAGCATACTCTATGGCAGGAGGGTCCTGGTTTTCTTACTAAAATAAAGAATGCTAGGAAATCTATTAAATGAAATTGATTATTGCCTAATAAAAAAAAAAATGGCCCAAGTGCCTCCATCATCAGAAAACCACTGTTTTGTAGTACAGAGATTGAGGGCTTTGGAGGTCTGGTTCTGTTCCTACCTCAACAATTCCTAGCTGCATGGCCTCAGGCAAGTTACTCAATCTCTTTTGGCTGTTTCCTCGCTTTTAGAAATGGGTTGCTAATGTCTACTGTACTGGCTTTGCTGGGTTAAGTGAGTTAATGTATGCAAAGGACAACAGGGGTCTTGGTAGAGTTTTATTGTACTCAAGGCAGTAAAATCCGCAGGGCAGACTGTCTAAGAAACAGCTTGGATTGCTTCAAACCCAAGCCATCCTACCCAGGGCTCCTTCCAGGCCAGGATGCCAATTAGTAGAACAGGTGAGAAAAATTGACAAGCAACTGTATTGTTTATTATCTACATGCATGTATCAGAATTACCTAGAGGGCTCGTTAAAATATTTATTGCTGGGCTTCATCCCCAGAGTTTCTGATCCAGTAGATCTGGAATGGGATATGAGAATCTGGGTTTCTTGGCCCATGCCGCAGTGCCAGAGGCCACATTTTGAGAACCACTGTCCTACACTAACTTGACCAGAGTCAGTGGGAGAGGCGGCATGCTGGTAGCACATAGGCACGCTCTCTGGCACAGACATCCAAGTTATCTTTTTTAAAGATGTATTCTTCTTCTCTTTCATAGCTGTTTCTTTTTTTCTTTTCTTTCTTTCTTTCTTTCTTTCCTTCTTTCTTTCTTTCTTTCTTTCTTTCTTTCTTTCTTTCTTTCTTTCTTTCTTCCTCCTTCCTTCCTTCCTTCCTTCCTTCCTTCCTTCCTTCCTTCCTTCCTTACTTCCTTCCTTCCTTCCTTCCTTTTCTTTCTTTCTTTTTTTTTTGTCTCAGACACAAATTTCTTCCAAATTCCTCTCCAGTGAAACACACCAGAACAAATATACCCCACTTGCAACTACTGTATACTTTCCTTGTCACTATGCCATTATAGTAACATGTTACTCTTGTTGCTACGAGTGTTGAGTGTATAAACAAGAAACTTTTGACCTAATGTTTTGGGCTGGATAATATTTTTAGAGTGAGTGGGGAGCTGTGCTGTGCACCGCAGGACATGTGGCAGCATCACTGAGCTTTATGCATAGATGCAGCAGCATCCACAACCCCCCACACACCCCCCGACAAGTTGTGACAACCAAAATGTCTCCAGACGTTGCCAGAAGTCTTTGAGGAAGGGTGAGAAGGGAGGGGATAAAATCATCTCTAGTTGAGAACCATTGGTCTCAACTATACCATTTCCCTAGAACTTATTAACATTTACTTAATGTGTACTGTGTGTTAGTAATTAAGCTAAATTCCTATAGTACAAAATAATGAAGACGTGCTCCCTTTTAGGTGATGTTTATATTCTAGCTGAGATGCAAAGCATTAGTTAGTTTGTTGGACACAGTCTGCTAAGGACTGTAATAGGTGCTTGGGCCAGGGCTACAGGACCTGTCTGGAGAGGGGGACAGGTCATGCCAGAGAGTGATGGAAAAAGAGACATGAGTGGGTCAGAGAAGTTTTCTCCAAGAAAGAGAAGTTAGCACCAGTCTTAGAAAGATGGGTAGGAGTTTATCAGGAAGAAAAATTAAGGATTATCATCCTAAAGAGAATGTAGAGCCTGAGTGGGTGTTAATAGACAATTGCTAAAAATAATAATGGATGACTTTTTTAAGTTCCAATCCCAGCTGCCTCATGACGTGGATGAGTGTAGACCCTAAGCGAGGCCTCCGCCTCAGTGCTTCGCACGATGCTCCAAGCATCTCTACCCACTGATCTCTCATTGACTGGAAGATATCGTATGGAATCCAATAAAGCAAGTACAAATTGATTGTGAAGTTAAATGGCAAGTCTTGCCAAAGATGCAGGGTTTCTGGAAGTCAAAAAATGATGTAGAAATACTGGAATCCCTAAAAAAGCCTGTAATGAGACAAGACCTGAAAAGTCAGACTTGCCAGCCACTTAAGAAGTGAAAATGAACCAAAATGATGACCTGACAGGGACTTCAGAATCGATAATTTTAGTATCACAGGATTAAAATAGTCACCCTTGGGAAAACCGGCCATGCCCTGTTGTTATGGTTTTACTGCAAATGTTAAATATTACATGAGCAATGTCATATTGTGCCACCGTAGTAGACAGAATTCTAAAGATGATTCCCAGTGACGTTTGCCTTTATAATTCCCTGATCTCTAAAGGTGGATGGAATCTGCAAATATGACGAGATATCACTCCCACGATTATGTTATTTTTATGGCAAAAGGTAGATTACCTGGTTGGGCCCTGTCTAATCATATGAGCTCTTTAGAAGCAGAGGATTTTCTCTGGCTGGCCGTAGAAGGGGCTATCCGAGAAGCTCAAACTGCAGGAAGGATTTGTTGCTCCATTGCTACATGAAGATGGAGGGGGCTGTGTGACAAGGAATGCTGTAGCTTGCAGAAGGTTAGAGGGGCCCTCGTCTGACAGCAAGAAAACAGGGCCTCAGCCCCCAAAACGCAGGGAGCTCTAATTCTGCCAACAACTTGACTGAGCCTGGAAGCGGATTCTTGCCCATGGCCTCCAGATGCCTGGATTTTGGCCACGTGAGGCCCTGAGCATAAAACCCAGCCAAGCCCACTGGGCAGGACTTCTGACCTACAGAAGTAGCAGCTAACAAATGGGCATTGTTTTAAGCGGCTAAGTTTGTCATAATTTGTAACACAGAAATGGAAAACTAATACAGCCGTCGCACATTTCCAACTGTGCTGGAGAAATCGCACCAAAAACAAAACTTGATTTATTCTTTATTTCGCATGATTTCACAGTTGTTACAGTGGTGACTGAGTTTTGTGCAATATAAAATACAGCAAGAATATGTTTATAAACTTTAATTTTTCAAAATAAATTCCAATTAAATTTTTTTTCTCCACTACTTCCCATAGAAGTTTGGTTCCTGTTTTAAATGGATTGACTCCAAGCCTCTGCTGGAGTTTGTTGGGTCAGCAAAAGCAGCAGCGGTTGATAGCCAGGGGGAGAGGAGCGATGAGAGAGGAGACAGGCCGCCAGCTTTACTCTGGGGGCTGGGGAAAGAGAACTCAAGGCTCTGCTTCCCTTACCTGCTCTCTGGTCACTCCTAAGACTGACTGCACTAAGCAGGGGATGGGCTGGCGCTTTTTTTAACCACTGCGCTCCAAATTCCTGTCTTGCACTAAATCCTAACTCGGCTCAAATAAAGAAGTCTTTTCTTGCCATTATCTTTGTCTTATGTACTGAAGGAATAAGATGAAATCTCTAACTCGTAAGCAGCTTCCATATAGACTTTAGTCAACTAGGAAACTGAATAACTGTTTTAAAATCAAAATTGTGGAGGAGATGAACCAATTTGACCAACTCGGTTTGAAATAGACCTAGGCCTTTAGCAGTCTCCTTTGTCTCTCTAAAAATAGAATTGGTCACCAAGTGACCAAAGTTAGCATGCCTCTTTCACTAACCCCAGTTATGGAACATGTGATTGAAATAGCATCCAAAT